AAATATTGTTTCTTTGCATAAAAAATTATTAAATAGTAGATAGAACATTCTATTTTTTAGTTTGCCGATTCTTGTGATTTGAAGTGTTGTCATCACAAGAAATTAATCGTTGTATCTTGAGAGACGATTGACATTCCACTGTCGTCACCAATGTAAGGCAAATTCGTATTAAAGAAAAAGAATTTAACTCTTGCCTCGATTCTTTTGCATTTCATTCTTCCTGTTGATTTTTGTTTAAAAAGATTTATAATAATTTTCCGGGTTTTGATCCTTATTTCAACTATGGGTAAAGTTGGTAAGGTTTATGGTAAGATTGCATTTTATTTCTAAACAATAAAGAAATCACTTTATCAACCTAATAGAAACAATTAATACATTGTAATAAACACCATCAAGTCTTACAGGAGAAATATGCTTAGTGCTATCGTTTTTTTTATATTCTGGCTTTGTCATGCGTTTTATCTAATTCACATATTATATTTAAATATAGTTAGTTCATAGATAAAAATGAACTAATTTACGTCGTGAGAGAAATTAGCACATAAGGAATATCAATTATCAAAATACCATTATCAACATAAATCAAGAATTGATTATAAAATGGAAATTGAGGATTAAAAATATGTTAATAATGGTGAATTCTAGATCCTAATGCCTTGCCTTAAACTATTTGATTAAACTCCAAGATTTGTTTTCTTTTTAATTGAGTATTTTAGTTGATAATTAGAATAATTCAAAGTCATAATTGTGTGAGTTTTGAGTTAGAGTTAATTTTAAATGAGGTATAATAACACTCTATTTATCATTATATTATTTACTAGGTGCAAACAACGTGCAATGCACGTTTGCGTAGTTTATATTTAATAGTTTTGTTTAAGAATTAATTTGTTATTAATAAAGATGTAATTTTTTTGGTTAATTAAATAATTAATGAAGTAATGTTTATGTAATTGATAAATAATTAGATGTGTGATTTTGATGTTGTGATGTAAGTTGGTGAGATCGAAGAAAATAAGCAAAAGTTGACAAATTTGGAGAAATGGCTAAATTGTAAGGGATCCAAAGTTCGGGGACTAAAATGTAAATACTTAAAAGTTGTGCCGAACCTCACGATGAAGATTTGAGAGTGCTCGGAGTCAATTGGATAAAGGAAGATGTCAATGGAATCAAATTTAGTCAAAAGATGATCACAAATCAATTTCCAACCGAAAAGTTATGCTCTGATATTTTAGTCTCATATTGAGACCTATTTTTGGTATAGAAAGTGATGGAATTGGAGAATGATATTTGAATCAAAGTTGTAGTCAGATGAGTTAGCTTTCCAACGCATTTTGAATCGCCTCAATCGGATATCGGAATACAAAGTTATGATAAAAACACTGAAGAAAAGTACATCTGCCTGTTTAAAACAAGAAATTCCGTTACATAGTCCATTAAAACAACAAATTCCGTTAGTTTTTCCGTTAAAAACAAGAAATTCCGTTACATAGCCACTTTTAATATATAAGAAGATATATGTTCTTCCTTATGAGATAATATCAAAAATAAATGAGATTGGTCAAAATCAAGGATGAATTTTACAATTTGCATACTTAATTTTTTTTTATCGTGTCTTTATCACTCTAGTACATTAAAAAAAGACAAGTCGCGAAACGACGTCATCAATTATGAAATTTTATTGTTCATTTGAACTTTATAGAAATTAAATTGTTCTTTTGAGAGTTATGACGGCTCGAAAACCTTCTTGAGACTTGGATTTTCATATTAAATATCAATTTTTTTAAGAGGAGTCGTTCGTGCCCTTATATGTTATAAGAATTGTTCTCATCTTTAGTCGACGTGGGATATAAACGATGAAATGAATCTTTCTCACTCGATATAATTCTATGCGATCACAAATCAAGTGACACGATCGTTCAAGGTGAATAAGAATTGACGATTGAATGCAAGCAAAAATCCTGCCAATAGCTAAGATGTTCAGTCAACTCGCTCCCTCCGTTGGAGTTTGAATCCCTAAGTAGAAACCCAGGTGCACATGATTATAATCCATAAAATAGTTTAACTGGTAACTGTTTTTCCGAAATATTTATTCAAAATTGTAATATATTCAATTTGATTGTTATTTTATTAATTATGAGACAATATTAAAAGTGAATAATTCTTTTAATTTATGAAATATTGGGAAATCTTTAAATAGAAAGGAATGTGAACGTTCTGACTTGATGGATTAAAAGCTATTTAATGCCATTTAGCTTGAACGACTTATAGTCCCTCAGTCAAAAATTGATGGCTTTTATTTCATTTTATATTTTATTAGGTTTGAAAGCTTTTCTAAGTCAAAAACTGTATCCTCATCTCATATTCTACATTGATCGCTTCTAATTCAAATAATTGCCAGTGGAAGACCAAACCAACGATTGGGACCTTTTTTTTTTTTTTTACATCAGAAGAAAAGGATGTATATTAAGTACATATTGGATAGGAATTTAAAATCTAAATTGAATGAAATAATTAATTTTAATCGCATATTTCATAAGATCCATAATTTTTCAATCACGTATTTTATTATTTTTTTAATCAAAATTTTCTGAACATCTAATTTTAATCCCACCAAATATGAGCTAATATTGTTATGTCTAATTAAATTTGACCTAATCACAAGTCAATAAATTGATGAAAAAATTACATCCCGGCACCAACTAGATTGCACGTACAACTCCGACCTAGTGCATGGGTCGTTCAAGGAATAACATAGATGATATACAACTCAACTACATTCATCTCTGAAATATTAAATCACAACACTCCATCGATTAGAAGTACCATTATCATCAAATCCTATAATGAAACCCATTTTAATACCACTATTCATTATCAAATCCTTGCTAAATCGAGTATTGTCCCTCTACCTCTGGATGGACGCATTAATTTTCACCAAGAATACGATTTACGACTTTATAATTGAAGCCTAATTCTAGTATCTCGATAAGTATTTAATAGAGAAACATGAATTTTAACTCTTCGAGTTTAATATACCATGTACGGCATAAGCACACATGATCCAATACCAAATTCATGGAATCGGATTCATTTGTGTTGGATTTTGTTATTAAGAGACAACTCGATGCATGTGCAGAACTTTGGAGTTATATGGTTTGTTGTCTACCTTTAAAGAATTGTTGTCTTTATCGAGTTGAGATCTGCTCTTACAAATTTACTCTCGTCCTAATATATTTTTGAAACCTCAATATATCATATCTTATTAGCAAGTGAAAAAACGTTAAGACGTAATACGTCCATGTGTAAAAAAAAAAGTGTAATCTTTTTATTATTAAGATGTGTTCTGTCCTGGGCAGACGAGATCTGGACTAATCTTTTTCTTAAACTAACTCACCCAATAATCTCTAAAAAAATTAATAACCGTTGATCTCGACTGACTCACCATCAAATTTTGTGTAAGATGAAGATCAGAAACTAGTTGGATTTCAATTCTTTAATCCCAATCAAAGTAATCACTCTCATATCAACTGTCAATGTAGGACCATTTTAACGTTATTCCACAAATTATGAATGTCTAGTCTATCAAAGTTTTTATATTATTAGATTTCAAAACAAATCCTTGCCATACATACACCAACAAGATTTTCTCATGTTATCCCATTTTTGTAATGCTTCAATGAATCAATACTATTAGAATATTAATGTATAAACAGTTCTAATTTTTAGGAGTGGTGGTGTGCTCTTTCAAAACATATCGAGCAACGAAAAATAACACGGTAAATTATAGATATTAAGCCCATGTTTGGTCCGGATTAAAATCTAATTTTAATTCAAGTCAAAATCAAACAATCAATATTAACTATATCTTTCATGGGTCCCACAACTTTTCAACCACACATTTCAAAAACTTCTATCACAATCTACTAAAAATCTAATTTTAATCCCCACCAAACACCATCTAAGAATCTAGTTATTTTGTACCTTTCAAATAAACTAAAATTAAATTAAAAAATATAAAATAAAACCTGTTTAACCAACTCCACACTTATTTAAGAAGTACATTAACAACTACATCGCCATGGATACATTTTTTTTAGAGCTCAAATTGAAAATAAAAGGTTTTCTATTTTGCTTTCTTATGAATGAAAAAAGAAAATTACAAAATAAAGATTTCTTATAAGTATTTTAGTAATTCTTTTTATTGTTGTACTTCTCAAATTTAACTGATTATATAGATTCATAAGAGCTCAAACTCAACAAAAGGCCTATTCGTTGAATAGTAAAATTAGATTTTTAGTGGATTTTAATAAAAGTTAATGAAATACATAGTTAAAAAGTTATGAATCTCATTAAATATATGTTTAAAATTAATTGTTAATTTTGACTTAAATTCCTACCAAACAAGGGCGATTAATTACTTTTATATATTTATATAAAAAATGAAATCTAACCCATATTTGATTTAACTACAAAAATAATTAAAATCGACAATTAAATTTAATCACATATTTTATGAAAATCATAATTTTTCAGTCACACATTTTATTAATTTTTTTTATTAAAATTTAATAAAAAATTAATTTTTATTTAAACAAAGCATTGACTAATGTCAGATTTGAATTTTTTCATCATTAGAGAAATATAGTTTGAAAAAATCAATTAGAAAACGTGTTCATATTATATTCATAAAAGTAGGCAAGAACGACTGCGTAGACAATTCATCTTAACGGCGTCATATTCATGAATCCGATGTCGGAATAATTATCATTCTGTAACATAAATATTATTAATATAAAAAACGAAATCAATTTTATTTAATTAATTACTAAATAAAAGTACAAATTATCACCTTTTTATCGAATGGATTTCCAATTCTAACAACAAAAACGTATTAAAATTTTGCTTAAGGTCATATTCGATGAAAGTCGAAACATTAGTCCATACGAATTTACTGTAAAATTAGAAGAAAAAGAAAATTAAAAAATATATATATAAAAATCTCAACCTCTGTGCAAAGGTGAACGAGCAGTATTGATAACTTTGGGAGTTTTAGTACTCCGGAAAACCTTCATCGTGCTCGGAAAGTACCATGATTTTCCCTTCACCGACGCCGACGACCTGACGTCATCACGACCGAAAGCTGACGTCATCCTCGTACCGGCGCTAACCGACCTCGATCTCATCATCATCCTTGCAAAATCATCAATTTTGTTGTTGCTTTCCACGTTCTCATCATTGTGAATACTGTGGTTAACCGTTCCATTCTCTTTTGTGGGCTCACTTCTCTTGGTCTTACTTCTCTTCAAAACGGACCAAAACGACGGCGTCTTTATCATATCACTGCCCGTTGAGTTCTTCGACCGGAGGAAGGGGATTGCGAGTGATCTCGACCGGCGAAAAGATGGTTCTCCGTCGATGAGGTTGGAGACCCGACCGCCGACGGAGCCGCCATCACCACGGCCGTTGAGGTAGGAGAAAGATGAAGACGAAGAAGCTGAAGAAGAGGAAGTCGCCGAAACGCAGGCACAGGGGCGCACTTTAGCGCAGTCGGGGCAGAGGATAACAAGGCGGTCGCGGAGGCAGGTAGGACAAATTCCATTACTACGCCGCCGCTTAGAGGGGTGTTTTGGACATTTCCACACTTCCTCTTCGTCTATATAGCAAGCCATCATATAAATTACATATACAGCTATTCTTTTCCTCGCTCTCTCCTTATATATACACTTATAAACACAGATATGTAAAGTTAATAAAGGAAGGGAAATTGTTAACCATGGTTAAGGGGTTTTGATTCTATTGTTGGAGCGCGTGAACACATGACCTAATTGGTACAACATTAGACTAATCAGAAAGTGTCAAAACGAAAATAAGCCTCGAGCAAAAAAATTCTGTTAAATTTGATATCCACGAGTTTCATCCCGAACGATTTGAAGATTTTTCATCTAATTAAAATACATGGGACGGGGAGGAGATGAGAAGGGAATGGGGTTGTAGCCCTAGATTAGGACAGTGCGGATATGAAAAACAAGTTCCCCATTTCGTATAAACGGAACAGGGACTTGTCCCACTCCACCCTGATTTAAATCCGAATTCGTCTCGTCTCGTCTCGTCCCGTCTTAATCAAGTATTGAGATGGGACAATATAACAAAAATATACTATGGGATGGAAGACGGGAATGATCATTTTGAATATACCCCATTGCATCCCTATTTGTCGTGGCCTAGTGGTGGCTAGTTGACTTGCTAACGGAATACGTGGAAGATTCACGATAATTTGTTAGTAATTTTTCGTCAATTTGAGGGATGGTAGGTGATGTGACCAAGTTGAAATTTACTCACACTGGAGAGGGCATTCACTTAACAAAGGGAGGATGTTAACCATGATTAAGGGGTCCTTGGTTGAACACATGAAGACGCGACTTTTGGCCTCTGCAATTAGAAAATTCTGGTAGACCAAACGACGTGTTTCGAATTTTTTTTATATTAGAGTTGATTGCTTTACACAACTACCCCCACGTTTTCACTGTGATTAATTAGGGTTATTTCCAATAATTGCTTAAAATTATAATTGGATCCAATTAGTATTTTCAATAATATACAAGATAGGAAGACAAACAAATGAAAATATAAATCGAACTTATTTTACTTCCAAACATAGGGGCAGCTGCCCCAAACCCAATTAAATTTTATAAGGTAAAAATAAAATTTTCCAATTGAAATTTTTCTTCCTATGTATTAACACTGTTAATATAAAAAAAATTAAATGTTAATCTTATATTATTCACTATCTACAAAGGTTAAGTTCAACTAAAACCAACCTAAGTAAGTTCCAGTTTGATTTTGTTAAAAGAGGAATTGGTTGAAAAGTGATAAAATTTATGGATACCGTGAAATGTCTAACTATAGTTAATTATTAATTTAACTTAAAGTGTATTTGATTGACATGAAAAATATATCTTAGAAAATAAAATATTTTCTTTATTTTGAGGAAAACAAAAACTTGCTGCCCCAAAAAAAATGTTTTCCTTGAAAAAAGGGAAAATTAAGCAAATTTTTAAAAGTTGGAAAATATTTTCCATAAATAAAAAATAACAATCAAACGCTTCAAAGTAGGAATTTGAATGAAAAATTGATATTTTCCATGGAAAATAATTGCAATCAAACACTTAATTTCTTCTAACTAAATCAAACATGAACTAATTATCCATGATTAAAAAGAAAAAATTAATTAGTCAATCTTATATGGCTTCTACCACAAATAAAAGAGTAACTTCCCCATTACTGTTCATAAGCCGCGAGCCGAGCCCAATGGTTTTTTGGCATGGCTCGGCTCGTCTAAGCCGTCTAAGCCTTTTTTTTTTCTTTTTTTACGTTTAATTCAATATTTTAAGTTATAAATATGTGTTTTAAGCGATTTAAAATTTATTGGAAATGTTGAAGTGCGGCCATGGTAAATATATGGTTGATAAATTTTAAATATCAAAAATAATTTTACATTAATTGTGAAGTGTAAAGTCGTGATTAAACATATTTCTTTTCAATCACAACCACATTCTAATGTCCTCTTTCGAACTTTATTTTTCCTACAATGTTTGATTCCATATTTCACGATATGAATATCCATTTAAATCGATTTAAATTTTTTTAAAAAAACTTACATTGTGATATATTTATTTGTCGATTAAGTTTAAATATAAAGATTATCTTAAATTATTAAACGTAAAATCATAATCGTTAATTTTCCTTTTCTACCCACCATCAATATCCATACTCACACTAATTTATCTCAATTTCATTTTTTTTTCAGTTTTTATCTTAAATTAAGCCAATTTTTTTTTT